TGAAAATGGATTTTTTTGTTCCCCTAGTCTGTCTATGGGTATTAAGTAACCAAAGTAAGCATGCTAAGTGTATAGTTATGATAAGCAATGGTGCCTCTTTCAAAATTGTGAATGCCATGACATCTAATTTAAAACATAAACCAAATTCAATCGTTGGAAAGTTGTTGCATGATGCTCAGGTGTCCTATAAGGCCCATGGGCCTCTTGTTAAAAGCATTATCTCTATTTTTGCTTCAATTAATGTTTGTTTTTTTTTTTTTCGCATGGATTAGAATGGAATTGGAACACATGCTTATCTAGGTTTATAGAGGCCTCATCATTCATTTCCTTTTTATATTATTTAATTTCTATAAATTATTTGATTCTGATTGGATACAAAAATGTTTTGTAACGTTCATAAATAGAATCTGGAGTACACTCGCACTAAACAGCAGGAACTACTTTTACTGTCTTTATATATATATATTTCCCAGTTCCAGATTACTTTTTGAAGGAATGATAAATAGTTTAACTTTAATAGATATCATCGTAAATTAAGAAACTTGTCCATTAAGTTCCTGACTTATTTTCTACTTTCGTTTCTTTTATAATTATCCCCCTTTGCTAAAGAAATCAAATCGTCAGCAGGGCAGCAATGCAGTTATTGGAAAGGTTAGAAGGAAGGAAATCAGCATACTCATGTTAATGTTGTGTCTTTGAGATAACTGGTATGAACAAAAGAACTGTGAAGTAATGTTTTATGCTATTAAGGGAAATGTCGTTAATCTGTTAAATTTTAGGAAACTAATGATCGAGAAAAACAACACCGCATGAATGTGAACAGAATTATTTCAATCTTAAACAGTTGGTAACAGAATTTTTCAGATTTTACAGCATTGACAGGTTGTTTTAAATTACGTATTTGTATTTTCGGTTTGAAATTCAAAAGAAAAGATAAGCCATTTTGAATTCAGCAACATCAACTTTGTTGTGATATTTTCATACGCACTGTTTTTGATGCGTAAATTTCATAGTAAAGTGAAAGAAAGTTTCATTTTATTAATTTAAAGTCATAATTAAATGATAAGAAATGAATGTAATATTTTTTTGAATTTTGATCGATGTATCAAAGAAAAAAATTGAACGGAAAAAAGTTTTCATCACTGCGTTACACGCATTGAGAGAACAGTTCACATTGTAGCATCGTCCACTGGAAAAAATTTACATTTTTGTGGTTTTAGGACCCTTGTTTTTCTTAATATGCTAGTTCAACTCTGTTTCAGTATATATATTGTATATTTATACTTTGCAAACTTTGTCTATAAAAAAAAGACCATTATTCCATTATATGTATATGCACCACAAAAAAAAATTTTTAATCGAAAAAAAGAAATTTGAAATTCTTTTTAATACATTGGCATAAATATGTAAACAATTGATGTATTCAACAAATATAGACAATTATGTTTCTTTGTTATTTTTGAAATACCTATTGTTAATTGTTGTTATTTATAAAAAATCAAGTGATATTAATTGTTACGTCCCTAACAAAAAAAAACCTATTTAATATTAAATCATTAAAAAGTTTTCACTATAGGAAATCAAAGTTCCAACGTTTTTACTACAATAAATCAAAGTTTTTTTTTATCATGCACATCTAATGTATACGAGGGGTTATCAAAAAGTTCGTGGACTGAGGCTATAAAATTAGAACTATATAGTTTGTTCTTTCGAAATTTATAAGGAGCATAAAACAACAAAAATTAAAGAAATGTTGAAAATTTTAGCTAGATACGTTCATAATTAGCTAAATTATTACAAAATAAAAATGACATTATATGATCATCTGGCGCTGTCGCCGTTTAGTTTCATGACGTCCGACAACGTCATTGTTTTTCATTGTCGTCTTCTTCTACGTCCTTCACTTATTTTGATGAGATTCACTAGAGCTGAGTAAGGACTTGAACCCGTCTTGTTTATATGAATTTACAATGTCATGCACAGCGGGTTTCAATGCATATATTATCGCAAATGGATTTTTACACTGGAAGAGATCCTGGCTTGATTATGCAAGCATATTTGATTTTTGGAGCTCAACAGCTGCAACACATGATCAACGTCATTTTTGACGTCATTGATTTTTCACATTTGACTTCAAATTGACATTAACTTTGCATCACTTTTCTCTTCGAATTTATTTTGGCATTAAAAATCAAATACTCTGGATGCATATTATTTCTTCATAGCAAGTTAAAACATTTCCTAGGTCTATACTGGTTTTTTCAGGGGCAAAGCTTCAAAGAATGTTGGAAAAAGAAACCCCTCCCCTTTTTGAGGTCATTTTCAAGCCTTATTTGCTCGGAGATCATGTTGAATTTATGATAAAATTCATAGAACTTCCAGAATGAGGCAAAAATTCCACATTTTATGGAACAATAGTGTCCAAACGCATACCTGAATCAAAGGGCTTTTTGGAAACCAAGTGTACATATCGAGTTTTTCTCAGTTACACATAAGTCGTTTTCGAGGTTGCGCCGCCTGGACATACCATTGCTTTCGAAAACATTACTAATTTATTAAAGAATAAAAATTATGACTTAGGATTTTTTCTGTAGATAGAAAAGATGATGTTAAATAGAATCTTTTAAAAATCATTGATATACCTAAAGTCGTTTTAATTTAATGGTGCTAGTTCACGGACTTTTTGATACCCCCTCGTATTTATTGATCTTTTTATTTTTATTTTTTTTTGGTTATTTAAATGTTTAAGGGGGTCAATATGGGGTTGTTTGGGGCTGGTTTCTGTTGTGCATTTTATTTAATAATAAAAAGTAGTTAATTCAATGCAATATTTACATTAAAAGATAAAAGGAAAATTAATATATATTATATGTGTTTTGATAATTTATTCATGACTTTTTCCTAAATACATTAGTTAAAGAATTCAATTCTGTTTTCATTACCAAGTACTACTAGATAAAAAAAATACTGCAAATGAAGACTAATTTTTTTTTAATAAATAGTTGAAAATTTGAAGAAATAAAAATGTATTCAAGTATTCAATTCTGTTTTCATTACCAAAAACTACTACATAAAAAAAATCTTGCAAATGAAGACTCAAAATGTTTTTGAAATAAATAGTTGAAAATTTGAAGAAAAGAAAATGAAAAGAAATGCAGCTGGAAAATTCAGTCTAAGTCTGTTTCATAAACCTGGGGCCTGATCTTCAAATAGATTGCTGTAAATTGGATGGGAACTTATTGTGCTTCCAAGCTGACCCGATATTATTTACAGGAAGCAGACTTTATTCAAAAACTTTTACATCATCAGAAGAAGATAGCATTTGATTTGACCTTCATCTCGAAATTTAGATATGTCGGTATTATATAATCAATTCACAATAGCTACTTTTATTCAAATATTGAACATGTTGAACTTAAAGTGAAAGTCTTGAAACCACAAACTATTATAAAAAAGAAAAAAAATCCTTTTATCAAATGCTTCACACATAGCTTTGACATATTTTAAATATATCATTTGTGAGTATACACAATTTGACATTATCACTTTTTACATATACTGAGTACACGATCTAAATTCACATGATAACAATTTCATAATAATACATGTAACAAGCATCTACTTTAAAAGGAGTAAATAGGATTGACATAACTATTTTATAACATTTCCTTTAGTACATAAAATAAATTATTATTTTTATTTTAATACAATACGTATCTTGCGACAGTTGTTTCTTCTACATTATTGTAAATTGCTCAGTCTAAGTAGATAAAAAAAATCATGATTAAGTGGATAATGCAAAATAGAACGTAATTCATAACTAATCACATTCACAAAAGTAACACATATAATCAAAAATTAATTTGTTTCAACCTTATTCACATAACGACAAAATGCATTTGTTTAATCAGTCAGATAAATAAAAACCCAAACTCATGTAATCTGTATTTTAAACATAGTATTTATAAAGAATAATCTTGCATTATTTAAATATGTAACGTGTGGTCTGAAGTATGTGTTCCAATATCATCGAGACCAAAATTTTCACCCCTATTGTTCACCTACTGTGTTAAAATGAAAGAGAAGAAATTAATGATAAATATTTCCGTATGCTAGTAAAGCATGATTACATTTTCCTTGTCACAGCTTTTCAATGCCCATTATATGACATCTATTGTACATTTCAACAGAAACTACTGTTTTATTGTAATGTTCGTACAAAGCATAACACATTAGAGGCATTTTAGCTCAATATTAATTTTTGTGTGATCAAGCAGCCATTGGTTGATGAAGCTTGATTAGAACTACGAACCGTGGTTTGGGACTATGGTAAATCAGGCAATTTTATTTAGAATAATTTCTAGTATGTTTTCTGATATGTTACTTTATTTCCGACATTACTTCCTTGTATTCCAGAATCTTAGATCTTCTAAATAAACTGTCACTACTTCTACATGCATTCAAAATTCTTTTTGTTCTCTCTAGAACAGAAACGCCCATCTTATCTAAATCAGCATGGTTTTCTTCACTCCTCCACTTCCCAAACCAAGGGTAACTTCCCAGCTCAGACCTAGCAATCGCATCAGCCCCCAACTCTAGCAGAAGCCTCACTTTCTCGACTCTGTCATTAGTAAAAACATCATCAATCACTGTATGGTGCAGTGGTCTTATATCAGATTCACTAAAAGCCCATTCCCCCTTGTACACATGTATCAGCTGATCTTTATCTAAACCAACACAGAGAAGATGATTCAAAACACAAGAGTTCTCACGTACAATTGCTTTCCACCAACTTCCACCCATTTCCATATGCCTGACCCGTCTTTTTCTCACTACCACATTATCCTGACTGTCTGCCATTACATCAGTATTTCGTATGTCAACAAGGATGTTAAATAGGTGTAAATTAACATCTTTTAGTTATGTGTGATTCAATTAACGGATTTATTACGTTTACTCTGTTCATTACTATTTCTCAATAAAGTGTGGATACATTGATATCAACTTTTTTGTTCAAAGCATGCACCATTTTCAGTTAGGATTTTTAAAACAGAGGGATTATGTAATGATGCAATCATAATTGGCGTCTCGCTTTTCATATTTGGCAAATCAACAACAGACCCGGATTTTATTAGCATTTTTACTACAAGTGTATGTCCACCCCTACAAGCTGCTGTAAGCGGTGTGTCATATTTACCCTGTTGATTGACATCTGCCCCAACTTTAATTAGTTCCTCAACAATGCGTAAAAGTCCTTCTTTACTAGCCATAACTAATGGTGCAGACCAACTTTCTGCTGCACCTCCCTGATTGAGTAAGGCACCAATTTTACTTACATACTGCAACATTATTTGTAAAGTTTCCACATCACCACTCAAACAACTAAGAAGAAATAACCGTTTCTTTTCTCTCTGGTACTCTTTTGATTTCCTCATCAAACGCACCAAAGCTTGGAAACGATTTTCAAGAAAGATCACCGACTGTATCTCTCTGTGACTTTTGGTTTGGTCTATAATGTACTGCAGAATTTGATGATGTCCATAGTAAATGACCCAGCTGATCACCCTAAAAGTGCTCGTAAAATTTTTGCGTTTTAGTGATCTAGTATAGTTGATACCCATCAAGAGATTTACATGTTTAAATCTACATGATGTTTTCCAACTACTCAACGAATTTCCAATTTCTTCCTGCTCTGACCTCATGAAATCTTTGTTCGACTTTCCTTGGACAAATGTCTTAACCTCATCAAAGAATTTTTCAGCATGAACACCATGAATTTGATCCAAAAACAAAGACTTTAATTCTCTATAATCTTTTCTCTTTAACACTTCAATAAAAGCCTGACACACCCCCTGATGTTTCAGAGCATCATTCATGAACACGTTATACAAGTCCATTCTTTCTACATCTCTGTATAACCTCTCAGCTAACATTGAGTTCTGACTCTCATTATGTAATCTTATGCACAAATCAAAAGGATTTTCAGCCTTCTGAAACATGTCTTTTGTTTCCTTATTCCAGGGTTTCACACAGTTAGCAATATAAGTACTGTTCATATATTTTAACATTTGCTCGGGAAACTGCTTACCATAGTGATAAGCACATATTTCAAAGATAGAATCATGAATAAATGTGTACTCTGTCCCCTTTAGTTTTGTGTATGTCCCCGTCATTGCTAACGACGCACTGCCGAATTTGAAAGTATCAAAGTTGTTTTCTAATTTACAACTTTTTAAAACATCATTTTTAATGCTTGTTAAAGTTTAATTTTCTTGATCTCTTAAACATCCTTCTGAGATATGACCTCCATTCATCATACACAAAACAAGTGATCCATAATCAATTTCTTTCTCTCTTTGCATTTTGTCAAATTTACGACGGATACATGGAAGTGGTGAGATAAAAGAATTTAAACCAAAAGATGAAAATTCTGCTTGTCTTGAATAGAATTTGCAAAGAAGAGGAAACATACGAGAAACGGACGCGAGCAATGAAGGAGACAGTAGCTCGGTATCTAACCATACTTTTTGAACAACAACTTTTTATCATTTTCATCTAATGCATTTTCAGTATCATGAAGCTTAATGACATTTTCCTCCTTTGTGAAAAAGGATTCATAAGGATTCATAAGGGCCTCGTTAAATACATTCTCTCTGCAAGTCATTAAAGTAATGGATTTATCCATACATGGATTTTCAATGAATTGTTGACATTCTGTCAAAAAATATAATTTTGCTTTCTCAAGGCCAAGAAGACCGACTACATCATCAATGACAAAGACCTGAGGATTTTTTGAGTCAGAGTATTCCTCTATCTGTTTGATATGTTTTATTGGTACGACTTGGTATCCTTCTTCTGCGAGTTTGAGAGCGATGTAATGAGCTGTTGCTGATTTTCCGGATCCGGAGACACCAACAAATGTCACAAAGTGTTTAGTTTTTACCTTTTCCATCATTGAGGGGAAACTGTGGGTTTCTTGATACATGGAACATTCAACTTTCCATTCTTTTAACTTATCCTTATGTTGGACTGAAAGAAACATAAAGTATTCAGAATTCATAATATTTTTTACTACAAATCATCAAAAGATAATTTATTATTGTCACTATGATCAAGGATATGTCCTCTTAAGGACCCTCTCTACACATGTGCAAATTTTTTTTTTGGACTTTGAGAAAACGTCATTGTATAAAGGAGTTAATATTGAGCTTATTTATTTAGTTTTCAATGTATGATGCGTGGCATTTACCTCCGGGAAAAATGTTCAAAGACAACACTGTATCAGTGAATAGAAATCGCTGTTAATTACTTCAATAGAGAAAATACATGTCATTAACACGTTCAGTTGATTTATCTTGGCCTTTAAAAATGTTGAGATTACTTGAATTTATTACAAATTTAAATTGAGTGATATTGTGTAAATTTTTATTTTTTAGAATTTAGATCTAAGGGCAGATCACTCTAACTGCAGAAAAATACCTTAGAATCAGCACTCTTTAGTGCGCAGTGTAGAGAGGGTTCTTAAATCAAATAAGGAAATTATACTAAACCTATAGAAAGCATGCCAAGGCCATTACATATATCAATTCTATGCCATTCAACGCACATGGTGCTTCGAAATAATAAAACAAGAAAAACTTTCACTTCGGCTAAAATTACGTATATCTAAATGAATACAGTAATACAGACATTTGAGTTAGGTGAGCTAAAAGATAAAGCAAGATTCATTCTTTTTCGTAGTACGTTTGTAAGTCTAAAGTGAATATTATGTAAATTCACAATTCATACCTTTGACACTTGTTGGAATGCGAGAATGCCTGAATGAAACTATGTCATCTATAAAAGAATATTTTAGAGTTACCTATTTCTGGATAATCAGTTCTATAAACTATAAAATTGAATTTAGAAATAAAGATGAATTGTCTGAAGCATAAATTGTTGAATTAAGGGCGTTTTTGTGATTTAAACCATGCTTTCATCTGAAATGAGATGAGTACATGTATTATTTAATTTTTTTAACACAATGTCATGTCTGACAAAGGCGAAATTTTTACTTTAATGACTCTCTTCTTCTATTATTTTTGTTTGCTGTTTAACGTCACTCTCAACTTTTTATTCATACAGAGACGCCACCACTTGCCGGTGGAGAACTACAAATTTTGACATTTACTCCTCACTCAGGTCCATTGAGCAGTGGAGTTTGTTTTTCGTGCCAGCACTTACTGCGATATGGGACTTCAATTTTTACAGTCTCATCCAAATGATCGGTCTCTACGTTCCATTCACAGATATGTAGGGCAGACGCTCTTACCACTGCGTCATGCAGGCGACTTAACTATCTTTAAATAGCAATTAAATGACCCAAGATGAAGGGGAACAATGTTGTAGTTTTATTTTTAAACTGGAATATATAAGGTTCGAGTTTGTGCTGGAATGATTGTATATTATTTCACGTCCCATTCAAAAATTGTCACTCATATTGAGACGTCACAATATACCGGTGAAATGCTTCGAATGCTTTACCTTTACGCGGCACTCATGGCCATTGGGCAATGAGGGGTCTTTTTCGTGCCGCTGCCTGTCGTGACACGGGCAACTTTCAATTTGAAGAAACAGTTTTTTATCGACTTACGTCATTCTCGGCTGAGATTATTTACCGATCATGACAAGGAGCACAGGGCGGATGTGACTGGTCAGCAGGGGATGCTCACTCCTCCAAGGCACTTGTTCCCACCTCTGATGATTCAGAGGTCCGTGTTTGCTCTGTTCCTATTTTATATTGTTTTATGGACTTTGAGATTGAATACTGTTCGTTAACTCCATCTCGTTATTCAAACTCATGATCTCCCGATCACGGAGCGATCGCTCTACAGACTAAAATATCGTGAATGAAACAATTGTGCTTGAAAGAAAACGACAAAATCTAAATTATCTGGTATGTTTCTGCACGACTTTAACAATTTTTACCCAGTCTGATATTTAAGGAATCACTGTCTAGTTAGGAGAGTATGCCAGGGCATCAACAACAGTGGGAAACATGGGATAATTAGCATAACGGGCGAATGCTAAAATTATCCCATGTTTCCCACTATTGTTGATGCCCTGTCATACTCTCCTTACTAGACAGTGATTCCTTATATTTCCATTTTTACTTTAAATAACTTAAAATAATTCGAAATACCGCCTAATTCAGTAGATTTGAAATGCATGAGGCCCCATGATGTCAAATTTTACCATAAAAATAGTCCCATAAAAACACGAAACAAATTTATTGATTATTTAGTTACTGTAGTCAAATATCAACATTTACAAAATAAACAACAAAAGAATTTTAAATTATGATCAAAGTAATCTTGTTAACATTAATTATATATGTGACCTAGATTTAAATTGTCGGAAGAACAAACATATATAGGCCCTAGGTCACTTCTCCGCCACCATACTGAATGCATGTTGCAGTTGATGAAACGGGAGTTGGTCAGCATGGTCAGGAAACAGATTTGTGTGGATGTTAATATAGCAGAGGAAGTTGAGTTGCTTAAGAAGTCGGATGGTAATGACTGATGAGGGACGATGTCTGTATTAGATGATGGAGAGCAGATCTAAGTGGCAATGCCGATTTCTCCACGTGGTTCAGATGGGATGTTTACCATGTGTTTACGGAAGTGAAGTTTTAGGTCTCGCGAGGCCTCGGTGAAAGTGGACAGCGTTGCGCTAGTGACTTGCTTTTGATCCGAAGAGGATTCATTATTTATTTTTTTTGTTAAAAGATATATCATATCTAATTACTTAGTAAACAATTAAACAAAACATTTTTTTTTCTTCAGTGTATTTATACACCACACATATACATGCAGGTTGACATTTGACCTTTCAGTAGTATTTCAATAGAGAAATTTACATGCCACAGGAATCACGGAGAAATTAACAAGCTTCACTTACGTAGTGTTTATCATAGGGAAAACAATTGGAAATGGAAATATTAAAGTGTAATTTAAAGTGAAATGTTAAGATACAATACCACTTATTTCCTGTACTTTATCCTCTGTTTTCGAAATTCGCATAGTATTATCTTCCACTGTTCCTACAAAATTTTCAAAAAATGTATATTTTACTCTTTCAGGATTTGGAATTTGGGTATACAACAACAAACAATACTTACACGGTAATGATTATGAAAACTGCATCATTCAAAACTTGAAGTCTTGCGGATATATTTTGTGTATATAAAAAGATGAAGGTAAGAATTAATAACGATACTAAAGATTGGATGAACATAACATGTATCAGTGAAATTTTACAAAAAAAATGAATTAAAAATTATGACAGATTTTAAGTCCTCAAAAGCAATTCTCATCTTTGTTTTATTTCAGTAACTGGTGTTGATGATGGATCTTGAAGTATTTTATATGTACAGGTTAATACGGTAAATCAATTTTTATTTGCAAGAACTTTAGTTTTGCGTAATTACTGTCTGCTCCCAAAAATTTCATTCTCGAGTATATAAGTATTCTCAATAATTTATGGGACAATAACAGCAATTCGTAACTTGTCACGCTTATTAAGACTTGAGAACTCCCTCGCCAAGAAAATGTGTCGCAAAAATATAGTGATCTACAGTCTTTATTACTAATTGTTAGTCCTCTGTTTTCGAAACTGTTGACGACAGATTTTTCCATTATTTCACGATTGTGACAAGGAGCACACGGCGGGTGTGACCGGTCAGCAGGGGATGCTCACTCCTCCATGGCACCTGATCCTCTGATGTTTCGGAGGTCCGTGTTTGCTCTGCTCCTATTTTGTATTGTTTTATGGACTTTGAGATTGAATACTGTTCGTTATCTCCATATTTTTATCTTAACAGTTATTGTTTATTTAAAACTAAAGCCCTCACATAGGGCATGCTCCTTTCTCTGGAATTTTGTACGCCCCGTTTGAGAAACATGGGTAAATAGTGATGGGGATGTCCGTCTGTTAGACCCGTAGTTAACGGGGCACCCATCTCTAAACCACAACTCCTCTTATACATGTACCACCGAATGAAATAACAAGATACAGTTTCAGTACAAATTAAGCCATTCCTTTTTTTTTAAAAAAATATGAACTGATATAAGAAGATACAATAAATTCTTTCTGAATCATAGGAATTCCATCCAGTAAGAACACACAAATCGTTTTTTGATCTCCTAAATGCTAATTGTAACGTCAAAGTTGCAGAGGATATCAATTTTCAGTGGAATTTTCTTTCAGAAAACATACTCTGCCACCGTCGCCCACTAAGATTTTGAGGTATTTGTTTTTATATAGCAGTTTACATAATATATCAAAAAATGAAGTGGGTGACGATGACAGACAATATTTTTTAAAAGAAAATAAACATAGAAATGAGTCATTCTGAGGCTTTTTTGCATTAAACTTCCTTTAGCATTAATCCAGAATGCCCCCCCCCCCTTCATGCCATATTCTTTAATGATGTATCATATTCATCTACTCAACCATTTTTAAAGCCAATTTCATTATTTTTTAAGAACATTAATTTTTAGGGCACAATTAAAGCCCATACCGTACTTTCTTCTTTATTGAGACTTTCAGAGAATCCTTTTTACACAGTACTCTAACGTTTTGATTGGACACATTTTTCTGCTTTCCAATAGCCAAACGTAGACACTGCAATTTTCTCTATAATATTTAAGGGTATTATCTCTTATCTACCTCTTTACCACAAAATGAAATCTTTATCTGTAAAGATTCTTTCTCATAAAGTATTATAGTACACTTCCTATTTCACTTATTTCTGACACTTTTTTCAAGTCTCCAAGACCAAAACAAGGACTTTGTCATTGAAATAATATGGTAGGCAGGAGGAGTGAGCTCGGTGCTTACAGCGCCTCCATTTTGGATAGATATCAAGAACTTTTATTGAAAATTGCTAAATAAAATTATGATAACTTACTTTCAAGCTCGACAAGCATTTCCCTTGTCTTTCTATCATTTTCAAATTGTTTTCTCAGTTCCTCTTGATAATGTAGGTCCCATATAGGATCCATTGTTTCATAAAGGAGAAAATCGACATCTTTTGCATAATCAGTAATGAATGCGTTGTCTAGATTTTTAATTGCCAGTCTTAGTGTCTTCCAGATAGACGAAAACTCTGAATTGGAGAGAAGCGAACTTGAAGAATGCCCGCATTGATTCCTGGCTAAATGGATCCTTTCTATATTAGCAGAGACAAACCTGTCAGAAGGATCTGGATTTTTACCCCATCCTCTAGAGGGAGGTGGCAGGCTACAGATATTTCGCAATATTGTGTACAAAAGCGAAATGTCCATATCATCATAATTTCCAGTATATTGTCCACAATTTGGTAAAACAAGGTCTCTCTGATTTGGTAATAAACGAGGAGAATTTCCTGTTCTAATACTTTGTTGCAGGGTGTGAGTTAATGTCGAAGGAGGAACTTTATTGCGTAGAACATCACGGAATTCATCTGTACACGGACCTAGGAGAAGTCGGCATACTCTGCTGGCATTTGTCGTCTCCTCTGTCGATAAGTATGCGCAGGTGGCCATTGTTTGTAGATCTCCTGCAGGTAAAAAAATATTTTATGCCTATAACAAGCATTTTCTTCAACGTTTTGAAACTTTTGTCTTCATGAATACATGTACATGGTTTTCCAATATTTTGACTTCATGAATACATAATTTTTAAAATTGCTATTGTTAATATTAATTCACCATTTTGTAAACAGAAATTCAAGTTGTAAAAGTAATAAAGAAATCAGCAAAAAACAAAAGAGCAAAATAGACACCCACTGGAAATGATTTTTTTTACTATCAATCGAATGTATTATTAATTGTAAAAACATAGGATGAACTTTCTTTCTCATGATTTCAGCTTGCATTGGGCAGATGATCTGAATGACACTTGATAAATTCGTGAAACATGAAGATAAAAATAAGTTACTGAGCCCAAAACGTCCATTGTAACAATACTAATATCCAGAAGAGCAAACATGAACATCTGAAAACCTCAGGTTGAATTAGGTGTCATGGACAAGTAAGCTTTCTCTTAAGACCTGTCAAACTCTTCGTGTGTTTATTGGCTATCTCATACGCAGTTCTACGGTACATTGTCACAGAGAGAGGCGATTTCTGTATTTGAACAGGCTTGTTATATGGATTGAAATAAGGTAAGTTGACAATTTGATATATAACACGATGTGGAGAAACCGGACAATAGATTTTTCTCTTGATTTTGAGTTGATCGAAGGGATAGTTTGCTGTTACCGGGGTAAGTAAGAATATCAAAATAAACACATGCCAATATTCACGTGTTTTTTCACAATAGATATTCATACTTGTTGCTAGCATTCGTAAAGCAGCTTTAAAAGATCACGCATCTTTCATGCTACACTTTTATTTCGGTAAACATACATTTCCTCCGACTATACGTCAAGATGATTCAATATGCATCACCTAATAATCACTGAAAAATAATTAAAAATTTCACCTTACTCACAACATAAATTCAATAATGCAAAAAAAAGGCCGAGACCTCCTGATAGCAATATACATATGCATTTACCAGTATTGCTAAAGTGTATTGATAAATACTGGTATCAAACAACATTCATTGACTATGTGAATAAAGCATGTAAAATTAATCGCATAAAGATTAAGATCCGGTAATTGTTTTATAAGTATGCTTTAATTATTGTTTGGTATTTCATAAACAATAGAATTCAAAATGTTCAATACCCTACAGATCCAAGTTAGAAAAAAATAAGAGGTTGTCAAATCCAAAAAAGGAAAAAATGAAACCGTGAAGAAAGGGATCGATGTGAAATTTCCGGAAGAAAACTTACTAAATACATGTATTATACTCAAAAAAAAATCGGGAGCCGGGACCCTTGTTAACCTACCCCCCCCCCCCCCCACTCCCACCCCTGGTTTTCCATTTATGTGTAAGGTTGGAAAAAAAATAAATAAAAAACACTTACTCAGACAAACATTAAAAAGATCTATGCATAAATACAAATGTTAGAAGTAGATTAATGTAGGTCATAAATAAAATGACTTGTTCCCGAAAAAGAATATGCAAATGAGAGTCAAAAAAGCAGACCACATCTCTGCAAGAGGAATGGAGGAAGACGTGAGTATTTTAAGAAAAATACATGTATTTGTAACAAAATGTAAATTCAAATTGAAATCAAAGGAAACATTACCCACCTTTCTTTTACTGAGTTGATATCGGCTATGTCTCAATTCAAGGGCATTGCCTACTGAGCTGAAGCAAGCTTCCTTATAATTAATATTAACCAAAGAATGTAGAAATAAAGGGTAGCTGTTCAATATTTTAACAAAGAAGTATCGTCTAAAGTAATATAAAAGCATTTTCATTGATAAATTTCCCTATCTGTGTTTAGTCAGGTAATTTTTCTACTGTAGGTATAGTATATAATTTCCTTTTACCTTCCAATAGGGAATCAAAGTAAATAAAATGTCTCTAGAAACTGAAATTGTTTATTGTGTTTCTTTTTTTCGTCCTTCAAGTTAACACAATAGGGGCGTTGAATACAAAGTTATAGTCTAAATTTAAAACCTATCATATGATGTGAACGTCTGGTATGACATTTGAAAAAAAAATATTGCAAACGTACAAACGAGATATTTCATCAAACAATAAATCTAATACTTTTCATACGGTAAATTTTCTACATTTTTACATGTAGCACTTTTGAAATGCATGAAAATCAATAAAAAAAAATAATAAATTTACATGGCATTTATAGCTATTTAATTTTTTATGCATTTTACAGTCAACTTTTCAAACAGAAATATCATTAAATTCCGCTAGAATTATTACAATCCCAAGTTTTTAAAAAGTCGTTACAATTGCCTTGCTTATATTACAAACTCTTCCTTAGCTCTTTGTATTGACTGAGCACTTCAAGACAATTAAATACCTTTGTTCGTGTAATGAATTTGACTACGTCATGTTCCGCTTTCCTAACCATACGTCTGAAAGCGGATGTGACCGCGGCTAATGGGGGATACTTATTCCCCCTAGGTAACTGATCTTCCGTCCGATTTCCTAGTATTCCGCGATATAAGCCATTCTCCAGAGCTTGTATGGTTGTTGTGTTCTTTTATAGATTAAAATGAATGAATATTAAAATATTTTTTTTTTACAATTTTCTTGTGTTCTTGTTATAGACTACAATACGAAAAAATTAAAATGACTCCAGTCTGTTTACGTTGTACCCTAATGAATATTAAAATATTTTTTTTTCTCTCTTATAATGTATAGTGGGGTAAAATTTTCTACACATGATGAATAAGTGTAATCATTATAATTTGCTGTGGTTTTCCTAATAGAGGTAATACATACTCGTAAAATTCAAGTTTAGTAGACAATATATATATATATATATATATATATATATATATATATATATATATATATATATAATTAATATATTGCTTTGTTTATAAAACCTTGGTACGTCACGTCTTTTAGGATTCTATTTGTTACGATGAAATGGATAAATTTCAAATATTACATTCGGGATATTAAATGTGCAATCTCTAGTATGAACTAGACCAATAAAACAATCAAGGAGGATTTTTTGTGAGCGACATTTTTATCATGCTGCATTAATTACATTTTTATAGATTTGAATTAGAATTTATTCAATTTATTTAAAATATGTTTTATATAAAGAAATAATAACAGAAAATTGAAGTGTAATTGAAGCTAATGTATAACTGTTATCTATAAAATGATTGTGTAGAAATGTATTGCATTCAATGAGCTCTTCATAATGATAAGCTATTCATTATTTTTTGATAACCCTAACAAGTAAAAACTATAGTTATCAATATAGTTAACTATAGTTAACTATAGTAAAAGAAAATTCAAATGTTTTAACTTTTAAAGAAATCAAAGTTTTAAAGTTTTTACTGAGTTAAATAAAAGTTCCAACGTTTTTTCGCTATAATAGATCAAAGTTCATGAAAATCATGATATTCTTTTTTAAAACCTTCGATATTTTAAATTTCACGCAATAACTTATGGTTTTTATCTGTTCTTTTACTCTAGAATAAGGGAGTGAAAGGTTCTTGATTGACCAATGCTAGAAAGTGAAGAAATTCTCCCCAAAACTACGCAAATATTGCGCCTTAAATTGCACCTTTTTGCATTTCGGGATCTGTAGTGTTATTGTAAAAGACAAATATATAAATTCATAACACTACAGATCTGCAACTGGGAAAAATCTTAATTCAAACATGACATCTTACTGTAAATACTTGGAAAAAGGGAAAAAAAAATAATCAAACTCATTTCAAAAAAAGTCACAAAATATAGTTCATTGCTTATATGTTGCTTTTTTTAAATTTTAATCGTAGTTATATGATAGAGTGTAGTCTAATTCGCATTTAAGAATCCAACTTTATTGCAAAAGAAAATAAATGTAAAATTCTAGAAACAGAGTCCAGACAAAATTCTGCTCAAAAACTAAGGATCGAAACTTCTTAACTTGTTGAGCCACGTTTAAAGATATATCTTGATGACTTTGTGTACTTAAAGCAATGTTTTCCTTCTTTCCTTGCTTTTCATTTAAAAAGACCTTTTTGTCATTGTATACATATCCTTAAGAGATATTGTGACACTAGTTATCAGAAAAACAAAAACAAAAAACATTTGCCTCCGATGATGTTTACTGCTCATTTTCTTGGTTATGCATCGGTTATAAAACGATGATCAACATCTGGAAGTCATTCCTCAAACATAGCCATAGGTACCGACTATTGCTTTATATTATTTCAGAGAACCCGCTGTTAAACAGTTAGCTTGGGGAACCGATTTAACATTCATTTACAGTTTTGATAGGTAATTCGTTCTTGATTTATATTGTCTTGGCATATTTTTTTCATTTTGCATGGTTTGTATATTATTTATTTATTTATTTTTTTTTGAGAATTTAAGTTTGTTAAATATAGAGTTTAACATGGAACTAAAGAACAAAAACAATCTATCGAATTATTGTAGAAATATGGTACAGAGTTTTTTTTTTTTCTTTGGCGGGTGTAGAATTTGGTGTTTGGCCTCCTCAAAGGTACATGTTTGCCTATAATTTCCGCCTAATTTTTGTTAGAGGACAAAAGGTATCAGGCCTTTGCGGATGAAATTTAAAAATAGCACTGACTATTTGAGCAGTTCAAATCTTAACGCACTTCCATCAAATTAATTGCTAAGATAAGCCAAAATTAGCTACCCTCTAAAATACACCGCTATACTGTACATGGTTATAAGACTTCGTGAACCAGGTTGCAGACTCTAAATCTATCTGAAAGCTTTGATTACGTCAGTCCCTTTTATTTTCCCACTACTCGGTCTAGATTTAAATTTTTAATTAAACCTTTCCCCCGCCATAACTATTTTTGAATGACTTCAACATCAAACAGTAAAAATTTAAGTAAAATTTAGCCTTAACTCAGAATTAATGTTACAAAGGTTAAAATGTGTGTTTCACTAAAAAATTGCTTAAAATATTTGACGCCCTTAAGGTGCAGGAAAAATAGGAGGGTTTCTAAAACAATCGTGGACAATGACATTTTTGTGAAAATAAATGGGTGTATATATCATTTCAGCTCCTTCAACTCGACATTTAGATATATCGTCGACGTATTGTCAATTAATAATGGTAATTTCCATTCCTACTTCGATACGATATATCCCGGTGAGCTTGAGATATAAGATACCACAGAGTCCGACACTTCTGTTTCATACTTTGATATTTTACTTGAAAAAGACACTAATGGTAATCTAACAGCCAAACTATATGATAACCGTGATGACTTTAACTTTTCTATCGTCAACTTCCGTTACTTATGCAGCAATAAACCTTCATCACTTGCATACGGAGTATATATAATCTCAGTTGATTCGTTACGCAAGAGCATGCTCTACGTATGAGCAATCTCTGAAACGAGGTAAATATTTACAAGCAAGTTGATGAAACAAGAATATCAGCAGTCTCGTTTAAAGTTATCATTTAGTAAGTTCTATTGTCGATACAATGACCTTGTCAGCAAATACAATTTATCATTGAGTCAAATGCTGACTGACGTTTTTCATACCAATTGTTAGGCCATTATTTATACATTGAATTGACGACGGATTTTTTCCGTTATTTCCTGATCATGACAAGGAGCACACGGCGGGTGTGACCAGTCGGCAGGGGTTGCTCAATCAACCATGGCACCTGATCCCACCTCCGATGTTTCGGGGGTCCGTGTTTGCTCTGCTCTTATTGCAGCCCGGAGGACCGGGCTGCTCTATACATATAAGTTTAAGTGTTGGTATATGGGGATTTGGGTGGGAGTAGTCATTCAGAATTAATGGTTTTCTAAACATTGAAAAGTTTGTTATTCAGAATGTTTCTTCCCTTTAAAAATTACGAGATACATAATATATTTACTTCCATAAAGTGAATCTGTTAAAATATATATGTTTTTCATATTTAATATGTAAAGTTGCTTATCATTCAACATTGAAAAAACGACAGGTCCCCTTTTTTAGAATATCGAATTTTTCTTCTCGCATAAAAACGTACTATGAACAGTTTGTGTTTTATATTCTAAAACTGTTAAACACATTTTTGAATATAGGTGATGCATGTGTCTAACTTCAATTTATATTTTATGCAGCCATCATTTACTTGAGGAATTGATCAAGTTAAAATTGGTATCGTTTTCGTTTGATTTTTATCCGACTATAAGTTTTCAAAATATTCGCGACTATCGTCTTCATCAATTAGACGCATGCCTTTTCACATATATCGAAGGGTTTGATGATCCAAGACTCATTTCCATTGTTTACTTTATAAATTTCCCGGGCGACAATTGATGGTTACATCAATGTTTTCTTGTTTTGTATTGTTTTATGGACTTTGAGATTGAATACTGTTCGTTATCTCCTTGTCCTTCTTTACTCAGAAAAGCCTTGGCACGGAAATACATGTATGGTTATTTCAACCGGGTACGATGTAATTAATTCATCCTGTAAGTAGTAGTTTTATCTTCTAAAGTCCACATTATTTTATTAGTTAAAAGAATAAGCATTTTTACTATATAAGTAGATTAATTTTATATTTAAACTACACGCGTTTGGTAACAAATACATATGTTTTACGGCAATTAAAATCATGTTATTAAAATATCGATTTGAGATATTGGTATGTGCAGAAAAAAAGATTTGTTATTTATTTATTTATCTATTGTTTATTTATATTTTAGCACCTGAAATTAGAATTTTAAAACAATAGAATAATTTCAATGCAAGGAAAAGATCGGAGGCATTCCGAATAAATCGTTCATCTTGCGTTCACCGTTCGTTCACTGTTCACTTTGCGTTCGTGTTCCCCCTTTCATTCGAGTTCTGCGTTCACTCACTGTTCACCTTTCACACATCGTTCACCAAGTTGCGTTCAGGTTCGGACATCGTTCACTCACCGTTCGCTCTGCGTTTGTTCACCGTTCGTTCAGGGTTCCTTTACCGTTCAGGTGGGAAAGTAGAACGATTTAGGAACTATAATTGTTCGGAGGTCATAAACAAATTTTAATATCGTAAGAGCATATTCTAAGTAATGAGGCTCGTCTTGAAATACATGTATGTCTGACATTTTATGTATTTTATTGATAAAGTTATATAAATCATGAAAGCAGCAACACTTTTCAAGATAAGAACTATTGTCTTTAGCTGTATTCCAAAAAAACGAAAAATACTCTCAAGATTTGTTAAGTGCAGACTTATGTATCAACAAGGAAACACGATATGGATATCAACGATATCAACCCAGTAAATAAAACAAAAATTAAATATTGGCATTAACTAAGTTTACAGATTGGTATTAATGGTCAATTAAACATTTGTCAATAACATTCTACTACATGTGAATGATAAAATACATTTTTCACTGTGGAAAAATAAATTAACCCGCCTCTCAAGGCATCTAAAACTTTGTATTTTGATGTCTCTTCGACAAGTGCTTTGCAATCAATACCTTGGTTATATTTTGCTGTAGGAGGACTAAAGATCCCATATTTTTGGGGTCGGGTTGTCTTGTCCCTGAGGATGTGTGACCCAAGGGGCATCCCCGGGTGAGCCCCCAGAAGTGTGTTTTTACATCGTGCACCAGGTCCATGTCGGTATGTCACGAGCGCCAAAACCTACTACATGGGGCAGTGCGGCGGAGCAACAGCTCGCTGCCGGGGCAACTGCGGTCGACACGTCGGCCGAAAGATCTAAAAGCAAAACTTTTTCTCAAAGAACCGGTATTAGCAGGGCACAGGTTACGGTCAAACACCGCCTGGTTTTTGTCTCGAGAAAATTACTTGCAGAAGTAAATTACAATAAGTATTATCAAGTTTTGTAATTTACATATATTCTTGTTTTCATATTTACCAAAAAGTATAGCTAGAATGCAATTTTCATTCATAATTATATTCATCACTTAAAACAGATGATGAAACAGAAAACATTTTCCTTATCATTTATGAGTAGAAATATGAATGGAAATGATATTGAATTGTGATATAATATAATTTTTAAAAAATGAAAGTGATAATGCAGTAAAAGAAATGACAAATAATAAAATCTGATGAATTAACAGTAGAATTTTATAAAGCTTTTTTTGCCACAGTTGAGTGGAATATTATTTAAAGTACACAGAGATGTTGAAGAATGTGGTAATCTATCTTTCACTTTCAATAAAAATGGGTCTTATAATACTTATATAAAAATAGTGATAAAATGTTAAAGATTAACCTATAAATTGACCTATAAGTCTTCTAAACGTCGACTACAAGATAATAGCAAGGGTAATGTCAAATACATGTAGAGTAAAAAAATGTTTTATTCTATTATTCTATTCTGTGAATTAGCTTGTTTATTTACATAATTGCAAGACAAAATAAAGAAAAAGAAGAAAAAATGGACATGGTGTAAGTTTGAAAATTCCAAACGTAATTTGTCACTTTTTCGGGGTTAATCGTGTTTAAGTTTTAAACAAGGTTCCAAAGTATTTCAATTTATTTTTTAGAAATATTTGAAATATTTTATTTATTTTGTTAAAATCCCTCATATCATTTTTTTTAAATGCCCATTACTTTAAATTTCTCTTTAAAGTTTACTGTTATAAAATATTGAAATGATAACCAACAAAGTTAAAAATAAAATCAAATGTTTTTTTATTTAAACTTACAAAAATAGACTAAAGAAAAACTAAAACAGCATTTTCTTGAGAATAGCTGGTTGGATCCTCTTCAATATCTGAAAAGATATATAATATCAAGGGGTAAAAACAATGAAAAAAAGAAATTGAAAAAAATTGAAAAACTGTCAAAAATTTATAAACATCACAAGAATTCAGGTGTGAGAGATCCGCTTTAAGAGTGGACTCAAATATCTTGGTACTGTTTTTTTATTTTTTTTTTTTTTTTTTTTTATTTTTTTTTTTTTTTTTTTTTTATAAACTTCAATTAAACTCTACTTGCACAAGTATTAAACAAATGTCACGCAAGGACATTGAAAGAAGTTCGTATTGTACATGTATTGTTTGTCAATTAGTTTAAGCGAAAATCATCGCGTTTCCAGTCAATCAGGTCCAGGAAAATCACTAGATCCACCTATATAGCTAAATATAGCTATCTAGGTATTTAAACCTATCACATATAGCTTAATCTACCTATTTGCGGAATTCACGTGCGTTTTTTGGTGACAGATTTTCACGAGGAAATTGTCGCATTATGGTAAGTAGTTCTTTGTTTCTACTGGATATGTAATAGTTTTCGTTCAAAATTTTTACATATATAAATACCGCGTTAATGAATACAAAATAGTAAAAGAAGACACTCTATACATCCTCTCAATTTTTCTTGTCATTGAAATCGAAAGAATGTCTTAAAAGCTTTTTAAAAAGTAAAAAAAACCTTACCATTCTTCATATGCGTGATCCCGTGCAATGTCGTCGCCGGAAATTGTGGTTGCAATCTAAAGGTAAGATGCGGAGTAGGTCGAATCCGCATCTTTCAGTGATATATTTATGGAAGCACAGAAAATGCAATAAATACGTGGATTTGAAAACTAAACATATTACAAGTTTTATATGGAAAAAAAGGAAGGGAAATAAAAAGGTTTTGTCGTATATCTTTAAATGGCATACATTAAGATGTCAAAAGAGAATAAAAGTATTTTTTTTATGCTGAAAAGAGGGGTGCATAACATTTCATGTTCTCTCTTCATGAAAACAGGATAGCCAAAGATTCCAATTCGAACCAAAAAAATTCAACCCTGGCAAAAAAAAAAGGACAGGAGAAAAGAGGAAAAGTTCGCAGTGGACAAAATGCTGGGAACAGTTACCAAGAAGATAGTACAAAAAGAGCCCAGGCTCTTTACCAAAGGAAAACTACTTTGTTCAAAAAGGTTTTTTTTTCTTTAATACTGTATTTATAGTCATCAGTAAATTGCACGAGAGAGTGAAAATAAAGGAACACACATTCTTCTTCCTCTTCCTCGCGATCTTCAATTTCCTCTATAAGCTGTACCAGTTCTTTATAAAATTTAAGAAGCATGGCTTTTTTCTCCGTTTTTATTTTTGCCCACTCCTTGGACTTCTCATCAGCTTAAGAAAAGTTCAAAGGAAATGAGAAAAAGTGTATAAATTGGTATACATGTACCACCATTTTTTAATATTTAATTATTCCTTAACTGGTTGAAGAAAAAAATTTATTCCTTTATCCCATTTCCCATTGGTCCTTTTTTATTGTGCAAATTTCATTTAAAATAAAATACACATTGTTCCTATTAATATTCTTCTTATTATATATGAGATAGGGCATACCCATGTCAAAATCCAATTCTTTCAATTTCTGCATCTCAGACTGCACCGCGTTTATTATTTCTACTTTGGTTTTATTTTCGATGTTGTTATAACTTTTTCTGTCTTCGGATAGGATGAATATGGGTTCTAAAAATTTGCACAGCTGCACGGAATTAGATTTTGCACATTCTTTCAAAAATAAGATTAAGTTGTTCTTGCATTTTGTTGAAAAATTTGCCAAATCGGGATCTAGATTTCTGCCTGACAAATTAGATGGTGGTCTCTTCTGGAAGGGGGTCGAGAAATATTCACAGTCTCTAATGTTTATTCTCCAGTTCTTGATTTCTTTCTCCAAATTTGTGTGGTATAAATCTTCTTCTACCTCCTCAATATTGAAAATGGAGTACAGATTTTGTCTAATCTGTGAATGTAATACAATTAATTTTGTATGTCTTATTATGTCTTATTATGTTAAATTATACATACGTGTAACGATCTGAAATGCTTAAAAATAAAAATAAAGTGTTAGGAGATAGATAGTATGTTAGATAGAAGGAAAGGAGAAACTTTATTAAATTTAATACTATATTTTCAGGCCAAAGAATTATACACTACTACTAAGTGTGAGGTTGCCATATTAATAAGGGCACCGTCAGGCAAAATGTGCCACTGGAATACGCCCTTCTTTGAGGAGGTAACATATTTAACTATTTGTAATACCAAGGTCTGGTAATTTGAAATTGAATTAAACTTCTTTAATTTTAGATAAAATGTTTCATTTATTTCTTCAAACAGTCTGTAAAATCCGTCTTGTCCCCTAATACTTCTTTGCACTCAGCGTACACTTCCCAAACCATATCTTCGAAACGCGCACCAATTTCTACATCCCATTCCACCTCTTCTACATCCCATTCCACCTCTTCTGCATCCAATTCAAACACTCTGTCTACAACCAATCCCACCTCTGTTTCCCATACTGCAGAAGTATATGACGATTCATCACCACCCTCCTCCCCACCTTCTTCCCCAACTCAACCTTTAACTGCCCAAGTAACAGTAAATTCTGCTTTCAATTCCTTCCCACAGTCTTCATCATTTTCTATATCTTTGACCTCCTCCCCTTCTCCCCGTAAATATAAAACAGGGATGGCACCAATAGCATCAGTCAGACCAACAGCATGCAGAACCAGCAGTAAAAGTACACAGACTTCTTCCTTTGTTGCTGGGCTGACCAAACAATGTTTGCCTTTCGGAGGAGGAAAAGGGGTACTGGGTCGGCTGCGACCATAAGTCATGCCGATGCTAGTACTGGATTCATGATCGATGTCTTGGATTCACGTTTCCAAACAAGATGATTCTTAAAAAAGTTAAATTTCTTTGTCCAAATCATTTGTAATGTAATTTATTAGTTGTTAAAAATTGTTAATTGTTTGAAATGGTGCAATAAAAATGCAAAGTGCACATTATATACAATATTTAAACCTTTTCTAGTTTGTCAAGATTTCTACACGCTTGGTTCCAGTGCTTCTCTTTAGGCGCGCCTGGAGGTAGCCATTTTTTTGTCATTTTGTTTCTAGACTCAAGGATAAAGTCGCATCCTTCACCTTTACTTGGATGTCCTGATTCTATAAAAATTATTATAAAAATTTATTTTAAAGTCTTTCTCCTTTTTCTATTCATATTACTTCGATGTAACATGTTTTGGAAAAAGAGAAGACAAAGTTTGGTACACTTAGGAGTTAAAGATTCATTGTCATTTAAAAATTTTGACACTTCAGCTGGTGCACATACTCTCATCAATGAGTCTCACTTCTATCTGCTGGTAATTGTACTTGTTGGTGCCAAAATATAATGGTGCAAAGTCTTGCAGCCATTATTACGTCAGAATTGTTCCTCCGAACATCAGCGCGAAACAAGTAAACAGTTAGAGTGTATGTGAAAATGTTCTCCTGAAGAAATTTGTCAATGTAATGCAAGGTATCATTATAATTTTTATTGCGTTTAAATGAATTTTTTAAAAATTGGATTAATGAAATATATAAAAAGTTGATTCGAACTTGTAATTGGGGTCCTGTACTCCACAGCACCATTCAAAGAATCCTTGAGCTGACGATGTGCCATCAATGCTCAAACACTGCCTGACATAAGGCAATAGCAATCCATCCCCTTCATTTCGGAAAAGAAATAAAAATACACGGTAACAAAAGAAATTTTACTGTAGAGAGTTTGTAATATTTTATTCCAATCATATTTAGTGTATAGTATTACCTGTGCCAAAAAGCAATATTTCTAGAAACTGGAAAGCCTTATGGTGGTCATTTGCATTCATACAAGCTTGTAACGCTTTGGGCGATCTGTACCCCTGCATTTTTGCCAGATCCTCCCCAACAACGTTCCAGATGAGCTTTATAATGGCTATAATAAGAATGTTTTATAATTTTTTAACAAAAAAACTAAATCGTATAAATTGTGTGTGTGAGGATGAGGGTGTGTGTGTATGTAAGAAATACAATGTTGTACAAAGGTTTCTTCTTTTATTGTAGTATTGTTACCTTTGGTCATGTTCATTTCGAAGTGACCCAGGCCAGGCTGCAAAAGGATATCTTGAAGCTCGCTGTGCTCCCTTATCACTCTACTCGCAATAAGATAAGGGAGGCCATCGCATCCAATAACCGTCCACCTTCTGCAACCGCCTGTTGTCGAGCCTTTGATGTTAGTAAGGACTTCTTTCACAGCATCATAGGAACAGGGGTGTGTAGTAACCGGATTGCCCATTACAATCGTTGGTTTGCCATGATGATTGTGTTGTACAAAATCATAAGGATCGTAACGAATCCTTGATTTAGAACGGGTATCCTCATCTTCCTTCACTCTTTTTCGGCGGCCGATGGCTTCCTCGATGAAATTCGTGGCGCCTGTCAAACCTTCCTTCTGCTGTTTCACAATAATCTGGAGACGGCTTTCAATGAAATTGGATCGAAGATATCGAAAGAAATCAGAAAATATTTCCAGATAAGACAAAAGATTGGAGGAAAGTGTGTTAAATGACTGTGAATATAGCCATTTCCTCGGAGAAAGATGATGATTCTCTTGTAGAAAGGTCGGGGTATTTGGAAAGAAGTGAACAATTGTGGTGATAGCAGAAAGAATTGCTTTATTATCATAATTGACACGCCAGCTTCTGGCAAGTATTTGATTGTTGTCAAAATAAGTGATTGTGTCTGCTCTTTCATCTACTGCTACTGGATCACAGGCTTGGTCTTCGATCCAAGAGAGAAGAGTACGATAGCTAGCAGCTGGCCCAGCTACTGAATTTAGAGTACACACACTCATACTACCAGAGAAGAAGTAGGATAGTAGGTTTTTGCTGAAGCTGAATGGGAGCACTAAATTTCCTCTGAATAGGGAATACAAATGTTCCACACACAAAAAAAAAAATCAAATTTGATTTCTCTTTCTTTGAGAGGTCATTGATGTTTTTGCAAATGATTGCAGATAAAAATGTAAGAATGAAACTGTTTCTATCTTTTATCCAGTTTTCAGCAGTTACTTCGAAAGAAATTCGGTATTTTTATAAGTACTGTTCAACTGGCAAATGTCATCCTCAATATTTTGTCTTTCGTTCTCCACCAAAGCATCTAGAATTTTTCTTATATGAACCACAGAAAGTTTCTATTGGATGTATTAAGTTAACTATTTCATCGACTGTTGTGTCAGTGTTGTTGTCTATCAAATTTTCAGAGGAATAATTTGCACAAGATGAACACAGATATGTCGATTTTTCGTGCAGTACTTTTTTTTCAACTAGTTTATTGATTATACTTTTTTTGAATTTTTTGCTAGAAATTTTGTACACAACAGCGTTGTTGTCATAATGTAGTTTGCAACTGCAAACAGCAGGCATGGTAGCATGCACACCTAAAACAAAAAAAACTTGTTTGAATACTATAGAGCCATTGTGATTAACCTTCATATTGCTAAATCTTCGCTCATTCATAGGAAATGTTGTACAAAAAATACTCAAAAGACGCTTCAATTTTGGAAATTTATAATACATTAATGATTTTTTTAAAAAAATCTCCCTTATAAGACTATTGATGAACCTTAAAATTTATTTACCATTTAAGAAATAAGATATCACTTTTAATGAAGTTGATTTTCTGATTTACAATATCTATGTGGTTTTTTGAGACCAAGTCTTCCAACAATGTATTGGAATCCCCATGGGAACCAATTGCGCTCCGTTATTAGCAGACCTATTTTTGTATTCATATGACGCATAATTTATGCAAAATCTTATGCGCGAAAAGAAGAAATCAATTGTTGTGGCCTTTAACTCAACCTTCAGATATATCGACGACGTAAATTATATGATAAACTTGACGACTTTAACTTTTCTATCGTCAACTTCCCTTACTTATGCAGCGATATACCTTTATCACCTGCATACGTAGTGTATATGTCTCAGTTGATTCGATACAGAAGAACATGCTCCACGTACGAACAATTTATAAAACGAGTTTAAATATTGACAAGCAAGTTGATGAAACAAGAATATCAACAGTCTCGTTTAAAGTCATCGTTTCTCAAGTTCTATGGCTGATACAATGACCTTGTCAGCAAATACAATTTATTGAGTCAAATGTTGACTGGTGTCAAATCTGCGAAATAGCAACTGCAGTATCTGTTGTTTTTTTTTAATAGAATGTTTCCAATTTTAAAAACATGACGTTTATCATGCTCTTTTAGACGCTTAAAATATAAACATTCACTATAATGGTCATACGTTCTTTAAATCACTTACATTCGGTCCATGTAACACTTTGAATTTTAAAACTATTTAAAAAACTCTTTTGTTTAAGAAAAAGAGCCTTTAGATATTTAGAATATTAAAGTGTTATTAAAAATTCAAATCGGGTTTTAAAATTTCATATTTTAGATATTGAAAGTAAAATTCTTAAAACTAGAAGCTTTCTGGTTATTTGAAATTTGAATTAGAATCAAAATTCTGAATTTCAACAAGTGTTTCACAGGCCACATTTAAGAAATTTAGATTGCATAAAAGTATAATTACAATGAAATACTTCAATGAGAGATTTAACTTTGTATACAGTACATGTAAAGATAGACAGACGGACAAGCATAATTCCAGGATAACCCATATATAATTATAGCAAAACACTCGTTGGAAACTTAAACACATGCATTAAAATCGTTATAATGTAAACATGTTTAATTAAAAATTTTTGTCATTAAAAATTACTACCTATATATATATATTACCACCCCCCCCCCCCCCCAACACACACTCACATACTGTAAACCAACTTTTATTCGCGACGACTTTATTTCGCGATTTACCAGGGGCAAACTTGTTCGCGATGATTAATTTTCGCGATCACTCCTATTTAGGTTCTCTTGTTAATGGACACATAGACTATAATGAACGCTTTGCGGCGAGAAATATTGACGATGACGAGGTTTTCGCGAACTTCGCGAAAATTTCTCGCACGCGAATAAAAGTTGGATTACAGTATATGTTACCCCTCTCTTTTTTTAACTTAATGCAAAATTTATTTTTAAACACATCTTAAGTATATATAAGCAACCGAAATTATGCATGAAAACAAGATATAAAACATAAGGAAACTAATAAACTTGAATTTTTATGACTTCAATAGTCCTCCTTACATAAGTGATGCAAACCGGGCATCAAAGTGATAATCGTCCCGGCTCCGCAACTACACAACCTTTTTCATTTCCGCTGCATGTAAAAATGGACTATTACAAAGGATGCTACAAGATTTTAACCCAAATTTTGAAAGATAAGTAGAAGAAAAAACAAATTACCTTAATGAAGGCAAGTCAGGAATATTTTTTCTTCACATTCGGCCTCTTTATTGAAAAAAATCGTGCAAACGCGGCATTTTTATTAGAATTTTTTAGCACGTGACTGAGTATTGTTAACAGGTGTAAACAACTGACTAGTACTCAGTATGCGACAATTCCTAACTATGAATTCTATGACATTTTGTGCATTTCAGCTTCAGATATAGGTAGATTAAGCTATATGTGATATGTTTAAATACCTAGATAGCTATATTCCGTTATATAGGTGGATCTAGTGATTTTCCTAGACCTGTCAATGACAAAGACATGTATTTAGTGAATTCATGGTATTGAGAAAGGTAGACTTACTTACCTTTTTTGTCCAACTTGCATGTGTTATCCAATGCTATATATAACAAAACAAGTTAAGATGGTAAATGGCCAAAAGCGGTAAAAGAAATTCCTTTAACCAAATGCACTCTTCGTCTAAAACCTGCACGTTTCCCATACTTGTAAACAGCTGACAATTAATTGTTGATCAAACGTTTGGGTCATGCGAAATTTCACCGGATGTAACCATTCATTCGGGTGTATACAAATCGTGAACAGAGTATCCTCTAGTCGATAGGAAGATAATACATATGTCTTATCTGATCAAATTTGCATTTTTGGGGGGATATATTTTGCTGGAAAGCATATATGCTTATTGAAGAAAGAAATTTCTGAGTGTATGGCGTTTTGACACGTAATGATGAATTAGCATATGGACAAGCCATGTTTTATATCATTTTTTTCTCACCTAAAAATCTTATTCTGATAAGATTGTAAATGTATTATTAAATAATTAAATAAGTAGAAATTGAATAAATTGACAAACAATTCATTTTTAAAGAAAGGATACGCATTGGGCAATACACTACATATTAATTGATGTGATATAATGTACATTCCATCCACAATATCGCATCATTTGGGATCAAAATGGCGTTTTTACGGAAGTACGCCTTGTTGTGACGTTGTAGAGAGACCCCTTAAGTGATGTTGA